GATAATTTTTGTTAAAAATAAGAAGCTTATTACATCAAGAGTAATTTCCGTTAAAGATAATCTTTAAACAGTTAATTTTATTTTTTTATGGGATATTTATTGTAAGTTGTATAAAAAGGGCACATTAAACAAATTACTTAAATAAAAATTATGAATAAAAGGATAAAGTCCAAATAGACAAAATAACAATGTATTCCTAAGCGAAGTAATAGGATCATTATCATAAAAAATATATTTTATCCAATACCTTTATATGCAGGGGGTTTCGAGGGAGAAGAAATGATGTAGCTATATTACATTAAAAAAAAATCTTTTCAGATCAAAAAAAAGAACCATCAAAGCACGGTCATTCAGCTACTCTTTATAATGCAAATTTCAAATATTGGAATTCTTCCCATAATATTTTTTTTTTTGAAAATTTAATAAAAAAATAATAATCATACTCGTGTATGAAGAGAAAAACCCAAATCGCGAAATCCATCAAAAACAAAAACGTGAATACGCAATTACATATGACTACATGCTCACTTTTAAGCTATTATTTATATAATTGTATATGTAATCCACCCAAACAGTTGAAAGAAATATTTTAAAGCAAAGTATACAAAATAATGATCCTTCATAATAGCACTAGTAGGTAGCGATTTTGTTATATACTTATAAGTTAAAATGGTTTTAAAGATAAATTAAATCAAATCATTAATTGCATGTCACATTAAAACTACAAGATGGCCAATATTTTGAATTTTGTTATCTATTAAGGCAATTAAAACAATCCCCTCATTTTTACTTTTTAAGTTACAATTTTGAGAGATTACAATAAAATTATATAACAACGGTATTTTAAATAAATTATAACAATAATAATATTAAACATTATATGACCGACACAAGGTAACTTCAAAGTTAAAATGAGATTATTTTATATTAACGTTACGCCTTTGTGGACTGTATTTCATTCTTAGAAATCCTAAGTCCATATAATATTTTATACTGTGACATGTTATTGAATATCAACTTAAGAAAGTAAAATATATCTCGTTTTCCAAGTAATATTACCTAAAAATTGTAAATACGAGTTTTAACTCGATAGAATTTTGTTATTTTCATTTGTAGTCTCAGAATTCTTTTCATGTGGAAAACTTTTGAATGCTGCTGCATCTCATAAATCTTTTCAGTTTTTAACTTTTATTTAATTTTAAGATAAATTTTCGTGTAGATATATTTAATACTTTCTTTGCGTTGGAAAAGCATTAAGGGAATAAAAAAAAAATCCTTACCATTTAACACGATGACACGCCCGACTTGGATGCGCGGTTTTATCGTATCAGTTTCAACTCTCGAATGGAAATGGAATTTTATATAGCAATTTAACGTTGGATGCAATGTAGGTATACGATGAAATGCTTTTAAAATTTAGTTATTACTTCAGATATGTCACGAAAGAATCTAACTAAAAAGCCATTGTTTTCCTAATTCAATTTCCGTAACATCAAGCTTATTTTCAAGGTCTGACTTATGATTTTTTTTATGTAACCCCTAAATCTCTTCTGAAACGCAGTGCCTGAGCGTGATACCACAAAGTTTGTGTTAAGTATTCGTAATACAAAATTCGTCTGTATTACCACACGTTGCGGTATAATATCGTTATTTATTAAGCAACGATCATCTGAACATACCCAGTCCGATTGTGTACGGCTGGCTTCAAGAGAATCACTAATCATATGGAATGAAGGTTCATTAATATATCTCAGGGATTACGTGATGTGCACATTACATTAACCTAGTTGTTAAGAATTGTTATCATGTATATGGTATTACGAGACAAATATATGTACTTATCTACACTTATATTTCTATGCACACTACTCATTTAAAAAACACCTAATTTGATATAATATTTTGATTGCAGTTTCGATGCAGTAGTGTTTGTTGTTTCAATTTTATATATTACTAGCTTTCCGCCAGCGGCTTCGCCCGCGTGGTCTTGTATTATACATAAAAACCTTCCTTTTGAATCACTATCTATGACAAAAAAACCGCATCAAAATCCGTTGCGTAGTTTTAAAGATTTAAGCATATAGGGATATATGGACAGAGAAAGCGACTATGTTTTATATTGTAGTATTGTGTATATTGTAGTGATGTATTTCGATAACAAATATGCATTTAAGTTTAAAAATTACCGTTTGTGTTTTTGTTATTAAAAACTAAACGCTGCTTTGAAGGTTTCGTTTAATTTTTCACCTCTATGCTATTTCGATGTTCGAATTATAAAATTAAGTCTGAAAAGGTCTTGTTATATATTGTGATGACGTGGATAAACTTCCTTCATTATCATCAACAGCCCTTTTTACGTCCCCACTGCAGGGGCTCAGGCCTTCTTTAGGGATGGTTAAGGAGGATGGGCCATGATCCTCCACGCTGGCCCAATGCAGATTGGAGGGTATTAACAGCTGCAAATGTAGCTGGGACCAACGGCTAAACGTGCCTTCCGAAGCACGGAGTAACTCGAGAAAAATAATGTTTCGGTCACCCATCTCGTGACCAACCCTTGCGAAGGTTGCTTAACAACAACGATCGCGGGCCACGGCGCTTATCCACTACGCCACTAAGTTACAAACTTCCTTATTTTTTTTATTAAGTTCTCCGCTGTAATTCAGCTTCGGAACTTTAACACTGCATCGTATTGCTGAACGAAAACTTTTTTTTATAGAATAGAATAATTAGTACTACAATTAATTTAATTTGTATTTTGGTGTTAAATAAACCTTTTTCTATTCCAAATATTAAGATGAAAATGATGCTTATTAAAGTTCTCAAAGCTTTGTCTATGAATGAATCGCAACATAGCTAGAAGGGTCATAACCCATAACGCGGGCTCAGTGCGGATTTTCTCTCTATTATTTAGTTTGGCCACTATTATTGGAATAAAGTTTGGCGTTTATAGAAAAACTGCTTACTATCTGATATCTGACGACAGAAAGTTGCAGAGATACGTCCCATAACCACCAGTACTCACGTACAGATAAGAGATGTTGTTTCTGTTGTCTTGTTTTGTTTGTAGTAGGAAATAAAAATCTTGTCAATTATCGCCCTTAAGCATGTGCCTAGTCTGCTTTAAGTAAAATCCTTAATTATTAATATTTAAGATGAAACTTTATTTCTTGGGCTTGGTTAAGTTTGTTCTAACCTCGTCTTGATAAGGAATTTCCAAGACAACTATTAGCGATAATAAAACGGATAATTCCTACGCAACAAACTCTTCTGAAAATAAAGGTCCAAAGGGACGCTTAAAGTACATTCCTGTTTATTCAATTCTACGAAAACAATCCGGGATGCTCCTTTAGATTTATTTAAATCAATGTTGAGGGCGATAAAGTGAGTGAACTTTTAACGGATAAAATATTTCCATGTTATAATTCATCTATCAGATATAAAGGAGAAAATTTACTTTCATAATTCACGAAATGAAATGAATGAATTAAAAATAAATGCAAATTCTTTCCAAAAATAAACGTATATTTTATCACTTTCTATCAAAATATTATTTAGGCACTAAGCAAACATTTATAAAAGTAAGACTGGAATAAATAAATATAATAATAATACATCGCTCAGATTAAAAAATACAAAGGTGAAGCTCTCGTATTACGGAAATCTGGAACAACGAAGGTAACACAACACCCAGATCCGTGACGATATCGAAAAGTTCTATTTTCTACTTTTGCCCGACCGGGAATCGAATCGGGGACTTCGGTGATGGCGATACCTTGAAACTGGCGTGCAAATGACCACCATCTCAGAGTGCCAAGGACCAAGTGCATTTTAAGCATTTTTCTTCAAGAATATATCTTCAGTATAGCTGCGAAATTAATCAAATATAATAATCTGAGCAGTACCTTAGTGTTCCGTGACTACCATCTAGTTGCAAAAACGGTTAAGGTGTAATGACGGCCTTCAGCTGTTCTAAACTTCAAAGTTTGTACCGGTAATAACAATTGTAATAGACGTTTGTGCAACTGGCAGTAGTTGCACAAACGTCCATTAATTTCATTAGTTTAAAGCGACATTACCCATAGAAATTTGACATCCATTAGAGCTTAAAGTCATCATTAAACCTTAGTGTGGGTCACAATCTGTTGCACAAACGTCCATTAAATTTTAAAGCGACTTATCCAATACAAAGTTTCAAGAACATTCATTAGAGCTTTAAAAGCCGTCATTAAAACTAAGTGGACGTTTGTGCAACTGGGTGTATACCTCTCAATTTTATTTTTAACAATGTCCTTTTCCTATTTTACAGTTCGGGTCACGGTGGCCCATACTCTGTCTGCCGATCCTGCTCGCTGCATCAGCTTGTGGCAGCGACATTCTCATGATAACTCTCGGTGGCACCAAGTCACATAAGATGCCTTTCTGGGAACTGGCCAGGGGAATGATTAGAAGGTAATTATATTATGTAACCTATCTATTCTAAAGAGATCTCAATATGCCTTAACATAATTTGAAGTTTTTACTAATTAAGAAGTTAAGTTATTAATAGCCAGTTACTTAAACGTTCATTAAAATTGACAATAGTTTAGCCACGGTGGGCAACAGACGGCCCGCGAGACATTTTGAAAAACCTAATTTATAATAACATTGTCGTATTATTTCATGTCTATCACAAAAAAATATGAGCACTACAACACTACTTTAAAATGTACTACTTTTAAACGCATCATTTGCACACTAAAGTTTGGCCCACAACAAGTCCAAGGTTGCCCATACCTGATTTAAAGCGACATTTTCCATTCGAATTTGACGTTCACTAGACCTCAAAGGCGTCATTAAACCTTAATGGACGTTTGTGCAACTGACCGCAAAAGTTGTTTTGACAGTCCAACTTTTGGTATATATAGAAATTCAGATGAAATGATAAGTGGAAATAAGAAATTCAAAGGATGAAAGAATTATTGAAAATGTTTTTGCTTAATAATCAAGCATGTGTCTGGTTCTAAGTACACCTACGTCGAATATTGGCGTAGATGGTGTAATCCTGATTGTCTATGTAACTTAAATAAATTTTGATTATTTTTAATATTATTTGTTTTTTTTTTGTTTTACAGGGGTCATAATATCACTTTGATTAGTGCGTTTCCCCCGGATTTCCATATCGAGGGCTTGGAAGAGATAGCACCTGATCATGTGGCGAGATACGTCGGAAATTTCATGTCCTGGGACCTGGTCGGTGCTAGGATGAGAGGAGAAGAGCCACTGCCGCCGCTGGACATCATGAGATACCCCTATGAGGTATAAAAGGTTGTTGCGGCTTTGGTACTGCAAGTAAAATTATTTAATTGCATCAATTTGATATACGTATAAATAAATAAATAATAGGTAAATTGTGTGCTCAGGGTTAAGTGTCCGTATAGCAAGTAATTAGAAAAAAAAAATACAGGCGTGAGCCACCTATAACACCGCTGCCTAGACATCGATCAAGCGCTTTTTTGAACCATTGCTGCAATTTCTTTAGTCATGATATTCTTCTACTGCCTACACTCCCTATATCTTCCCTTGAAATATCAACTAGTGCTTTTGACTTCTTCTAATGCGCTTAAGATATTAGAGTTTCCTCCTCCGACATCCTTATATCACATCCTTTTTCTATTCAAGCTGTTCGGCTTTGGAACTCGTCACCAGAAATTATTAGGAAAGCTTGCATTTACGATCCTTCGTCTCAGAAGTGAAGAGCTATTTACTCTCCACCTTGTAACTCTTTCGTATACTTGCTGCATAAAAATAAGGCCCTTTTTTGTATATTGCCTAATATGTTTTTTTATAATAATAGTAGTTCGTCGCTCTAGTTATCGTTCACTGAAGAATCCCGGGACGGGTAGTCCACCACGTATTTATAAGGGACTACACATAGAATGTTCTAGGTTAGATTAGGACCTAGATCATTCTGGGAGTTTATTCTTAATACAAAATCCTTAAAAAATCCACTTGTTCCCTGGCACCCTGAGATGGGAATCGAACCCACGACCTTTCGCAGCCGGGCGACTGCTCTTGCCAGGGACCAAGTGGGTTTTTTAAGCATTTTGTATTAAGAATAATTTTATTTTGTCGATATATTTTTTTTCTTTAATATTTATATTATAATTTATTATAACCTACGTTGTTTTACAAAGATTTTTTTGCATTAAAAATGTGACGCGAATTCGTATTACTCTGGGTTTGAAATATATATTTTTTATATTTTTGAATAAGCTAAATAGCGATTATTGTTTCTATTTTTATTTGATGATTTTAATCTGTACTGAAGGTTAAAGCATCTTTTGTTTATATATTTTTTTTATAAAGGTATTAGAAATACTTGGCTGACTACCTTTAGTCAGCCAAGTTTACGGTCAGTTGCACAAACATCCATTAATGTTTAATGACGCCTCTAACCTCTAATGAATGCCGAATTTGTATGGGTAATGAACGTTTGTGCAACTGGCGATTTTATTGGAAAACACAAGTCATAAAACAATTTGAAGATCTCATGAAATCGGTTATAGGCCTTCTCAGATTGCTGCTCTTGTAGGACTTCATTGAATGATAATGACATAAAACATCCATTAAATTTTTTAATGCGAGAAGTGCTCATATCGCTTTTTTAAAACCATACTTTTGTTTTATTTTTTAATTTTTAATATTTCTTTGTAATATCTCTTATATTTGTGCAAAAAAGAATATTATTATTATTTTGACTGTCACTCTTGCATTTCTTTAGGTTTGCGACGTGTTCTACAGCGATCCTGAGACTAGATCCTTCCTTAGATCAGGAAGGAGCTACGATCTTATAGTGTTGGACGGGGCGTTTCCTGAATGCGCCATGGGCGTCGTATATCGGATGAAACTGCCTTTCATATTCATCAACACAGTTGGATTTTACACCATGGCATTCAGCAACTCTGGCAGTCCAACTCCTTATTCAGTGACACCTTTCTTTGGCAAAGCCTTTACGGATAGTATGAACATTGTGGATAGAGCGTTGAATTTCGCATGGCATGCGATCGCGTATACAGCGCATGGTGTTTCAATGATGGTGCTGCAAGGAGTTCTGAGGAAGCATTTTGGACCGCAGATCCCGCATGTTTATGATACTACGAAGAACGTGAGCTTCATCCTTCAGAATGGACATTACTCTGTGACATATCCAAGACCTTATTTACCTAATGTTGCTGAAGTGGCGTGTATACATTGCAAGGATGCGAAGCGATTGAGTCCTGTAAGTTGTAAAACTCATTATTTTATATTGTCTGTGAATTTAACTTTTGGACATGCTGGTGAAGTAGCGGCTTAGGTTAATAGATGAATTAAAATTTCAGACTTTAATTTTATCAAATAAAGATGAAAAATAAATTGCAACCTTTTATAGCAACAATTCAAAGTAAAATCAGAGATGTCCAATAATAATGAGCACTGAAAAGTGTGTTATATAATAAATTGTCAATAACACTGATTAAGTATGATTATTTATTTTAAAATTAATTCTCAACTGTTTATTTTCCAAGGACTTGGAAGAATGGATCTCTGGAGCAGGCAACGCTGGCTTCGTATACGTATCGATGGGTTCGTCGGTGAGGACATCCAGTATGCCGTTGTCCGTTCATCGTATGTTCGTGGAGGCTTTGGGGAGACTACCGCACAGAGTACTATGGAAGCAGGACGCTGAGCAGAACATGACTGATATACCATCAAACATTAGGCTGTACAAGTGGCTACCACAACAAGATTTACTTGGTAATTATTTTGTTATTCTATGCAGATTTGGTTTTTGTTGTTGAAAGTGGAAAAATATCTTCCAGGTTTGTAGGTAGCTTATCTCAATACTGAAAAAAGAAATATTAACAAAGAGCTAAAGTAATAACAAGTAATCAACTTGAGAAATTCTATGCTTATTGAGCCGTTTAATAATTTTGTTGGAGGAGCAGCAGAAGGTTGCGGTCGCGGTTGTCTAGATACACTTAAGATTGTTAATTTTACCAAAATTTTATATATTTATCATAGTCAATTTCTAATAATAAAAGTTAATTACGATTAATGTATTTTATGATTCCAGGTCATCCAAAAATAAAGGCGTTCGTCACTCACGGTGGTCTTCTGAGCATGTTCGAAACTGTTTACCATGGTGTTCCTATAATCACTATTCCTGTATTTTGTGATCATGATGCCAACGCTGCTAAAGCTGAAGTGGATGGTTATGCTAAAAAGCTAGAATTGAGACAACTCACATCTGACAAACTATATAAAGCAATTACAGAAGTAATTAATGAACCGAGATATAAAATAGAGGTTAATAAAAGGCAAGTACTTCTGAGAGATCAAAAAGAAACTCCTTTAGAAAGAGCAGTGTACTGGACGGAATATGTAATCAGACATAAAGGTGCTTACCACTTGCAATCGCCGGCGAAAGATTTGAATTACTTCCAATATTACATGATAGATGTCGCTGTTATATTAATTATAGTGATGCTCGTAGTATTCGCAATATCATCTTACGCGTTGAGATTTTTGTTCAAGAAATTAGTGGGTTACGTTCTAAATAAAGAATTGTCGATGAACTCAAATAGTTTCCTGAAACGGTCTAAGATTTTAATGGATACAGCGACGATGTCAAAGAAGGAACTGTAAAGTTGAAATATACCAAAATTTGTTATCTTAAGTTACCATTTCAAGTTACCATAAGAGATTGAATACAAATAATGGAAGTACACGAATAAAAAAGTGATAATAATGTAAATATATAAAATGTAAGTGTAGAAAGTAGTTTAGTGATTAGTTGTTACAAAAGACAAGAAAATTACAAATATAAAGTAATTTTGCTCATGTAAGTACTTTATTATTTAAATTAAATGAGCGAGGATATATTGTAAAATATTAAAGAAAGTTTTTTATTTGAGTTGTTATTTTATTAATGATTTAATAAATTTGAAAAAATACTTAAGAACTTACCAGTTCCAGGTGCCCTAGATGGGTTTTGAACCTCCAACCTTCTACAATTTAGGCGAATGCTCTACATTGAACTACCAGAGACCCAGCGGGACTGATGAAATTTAAGTTTTATTTACAGTATTGAAAAAATCCTTAGGTAATAATATAAAGTAGGGCATAATCTGACCTTTTTTTTGATAAAGCCTGGTTTAAACCAGGGCTCTCTAACGTCATCCTGGTTAAAGCGGAGTACCCTCTAAATATGGAAGTTCAATATTATCAAATCAGTAAGCAGCATTATATCTATCACTTCTGTCTTGTACAAGTATATATTACCCTTAATTTTGGGTGGCGCTATGCAAATATCAGAACCACAAAATTCACTTAGTGCGAATTAAAATTGCACTATAATTTTTCGTTTAAAACAAAGACTTGTGAAAGATTAAAGATAGTCAAGAAATTTCCAAAATATAAAAAGAGACCCTCTTCTGTGTTTGCCTAACAGCAAATACAATTTCATGCGGATTTTCCAAATGAAGATTCACGGGGAATATTCTATGGCGATAATTGCTGAGAATGTCGTAAGAAATCATGGAGAATACTGATGTAGTGTACGTTATGAAATTCAAAATCCATTGTAGAGTTATCGGAAATAGCTTCCTTCTGAAACTTAGAACTTCTCGTAATAACTTTATTTATTGGACACACTTTATTAATGTATTATCATGATTATTGTTGAAGATGACGGAAAATGTTAAATATGGATTGATCAAGAATAAATTTTAAACCCATTAAAGTTTTGTCAGCTAAAATAGAATTTGCTGCTTTGCTTTGCTTTTTTTCTGCTGTCACACTTTACTTCTCAGCTTACCTTCGTTATTTCAACATAAAAGAACGTAATTGCACAAATATTAAATGTCTCACCACTTAATTTAACAGTTATTACAACTGTAACCATATAAAAGAATACTAAGTTATAGTTTCCTGCGTTACTATGCGTCTCTAAAATAATTGTCAATTTTATGAATCACTAAATTCTATACTAAAAATATTGGTTTCAAATGACCAAAATATAAAAATGAGTAAGTTTCTCAACGATTTTCTAAACTTCTTCTTGAATTATTTTTTTCCTCTAAGATAGACAATATTATTTAACTTATTATGCGAATAACTTTTATAAGTTTATGTACTCAGGAAAAATTATATCTTTATAATTTACAATTTAGCATACTTAAGAAGTAAATGAAAGATTCAAAAACTCTAAATAACCAGTTTTTATTCATGTTAAAACGGTAATTACATTTTAAACTTCATTAAAATCACATAATATGTACAAAATATTCATTATATTTATTAAATAGAACGTAAAAAATAAGACACTAAGAATTTTTGTTTCTGAAACTATAACATAAAAAAGTCAATGGAAAAGTGCAAGCAATAGTTTAAACAGCGCTAATGCTATTTTTGACTTCTTAAATTTTAACCACTTGATATTGAATGGTACCCAAATATTTTTTTTCATAAAAACAATACTTTTACAAGCAGCCACTTAATAGAGAAGGAGAAACAATTTAGTTTCAATTATTACGTGTAAAATCATCTACATAGTTCTCCTCCTAAGTCGTGTGACGATTACACCTAAAGTCGGAATCCATAAATTTCCGAAAATATAGACTCTATTCTGGCGGCTCCATTTATAGAAAACATTGAGGAGTCGCCTTAACGTCCATTACATCTCCAATTTCGGTGGACCCTGGGCAGTTCCAATTACACTGATGTCTTTCGATTGGCTTTCCACCGGATTTACTTTGGCCGCTTTATTTGATCCAGAAGGTAGTGCAAAGCCAACTATACGATCTGTGAAAGTAATTATGTTACAGTAACATACAATTATCATCATCACCAGTTGGTATAATAGGCTTATTAATGTCCCTAGTGCTGGGATCAGGCCTTCCCTATGGATGAAATCGAATGGGTAGAATGTGTGAGTGACCTATCACGCAGACCCAGTGCGGATTGATGGGTGTTAACGACTTCAGATGCAGCCGGGAGCAACGGCTTAACGTGCCTTCCGAAGCACGGAGGAACATGAGAATATAAATTTTTGGTCACCATCCTATGAACAGCCCTTGCGAAAGTTGACCGAGCGCACTAAACACTGCGCAATCGAGCTCCTCATTCTTCTCAAAATTTCATTACTTAATTTTAAACCTTTATATGTTACTCGTATATTGAAAGTAGAGTACAAATTTTGGTAGCCTGACGTGCAGTCAGAATGATTCAATGTATTACTGTCGTATTTATAGTCGAGTAGAAGTTACTTAAGTAAAAGTAATAATTTAAGCAAATTATTTTAACCTAAAAGACGAAAATTTGAATGAATTAAGAACTTTTTTATGCTGTTTTTTTAAGGGCTTTTAACTTAGTATTCGTGCCAGCCCAATCTTAACCAATTAACCACAATTAACAATTTAATGAATAGATATAAGAAAGCATTTTTTTTTACAGAAATGTAACTATTTCTATTAAAACATAATTTTGTTTCATGTAATTATCTTGAATAATATTCTAGCTTCATCCGTCAATGGATAGTGTAGGATACTTTAAAAACACCTATGTCTTTTTGTTGTACTTAAGATAAAAACAGAAAAATATTTTTAAATGCAGTTGCTCATAAAGCGCTTTTTTTAATCCATTGTAAACACAGACAGTGAGTCTTTAAACACGTGTTTAATAAAAATGTACTGAAACCCTTTACTGCACACGTGCTTAAAAGTAATTTTTTAATTTTTTTTTTTGGCCAAGCACCAAAGAAATTTAAAAAAAAAATCATGAAAATATGTCAAATAAAAATGTATGACACGAAAACATGTTCAAATATCACGTTTAATTTTAACAAATAATTTTTACCTTTAATACATACTAAGTTTTATTAACCTATATATTTGTTTTATTTCCTCGCAAAAACCATTGAAAAATGTTGTAAGGAACTTGAGCGTAAAAGGTTTTTCAAATTCGTGCCAATGAAAACCCTCGCTACGCTCGTGTTTTCAATTCGGCCCTTATTTGTAAAACCTTACTTGATAAAAAAACGACTTCCTCTCATTGTGTAATCTTAATGATTTAAGAACTGAAAAGAAACTGAATGAGTTAAGAATGAAGCAACAAAATAGTTATTTAAGATAATATCACTCGTATCTTAAATAACTATTTCGTTGCTTCATTCTTAACTCATTCAGTTTGTTTTCAGTTCTTAAATCATTAAGATTACACAATGAGAGGAAGTATTTTTTTTTATATATACTAATATAATAAAGAGGAAAGATTTTGTGGCACATCTGTTTAATAATCTTTGTCGTCCACTCTGTGGCGACGTAATCTGTGACATTTGATTATTTGTTTGCAACGAATAGGTTCCGAAACAACTGCACTCATTTAAAAAATTATTTCACCTACGGGAAGCTACATCATATGCGGTGAACATAAGCTATATTTTATCCCGAAGAACTGGAAATAAAGGCATAAAAATGGGAGTGTAAGTTTATTTACGGAACGAAAACATTACCAATTATATCCATGTTATGATATGAATTGATATCCAAATAAACAGTTTCCTAGGGCTGGGTAGTTAAATATACAAAGTTATTTAGCGGAATGTGTCCAGACCGCAGTCGATGAACTCTATTATATTACTAGCTGGTGGCCGCGACTTCGTTTGCATGGACTTAACAAGTGAAATAGTTTACCGATGACTGAAAATTCATAGAATTTCTTAGTACATAACATTGGTTATTTTTTTCTTCAGGGGCCAATAAACAAAACTCGCAGCACTACTCACTGGCGCAAATAATCTACGTACTATCCTTGAGAAAATCAACCTGTCCTTAAATTCACACCAACACTTTGAGCATCTGTCTACGTAGTAGACAAAGTAGCCATAGGCGTGAATACAAACGGAAAATTGTTGGGGATAAGTGGTATATGCGGTATTAAAACAATTTCACCTATAACACAGCCGGTCAGAATTTCTACTTCGATGATATTTCGGTAGAGAAAGTACACAAAAAAATATTTGTATACGTAGCCAGAGCACCAATTCCATCTGCTAATGTTCCTTTATTTATTTCGGGAAGAGTAAGACAAAAAATTTCTGATAAAAGACTTCAAACGTTACTCATTGATCGATCATCTCTGAGAATATCTCATAATGTTCTGTTCACAGCTTTCAGGGTATTGTTGGATATGATACATTCATTCCTAACGATTAGACAGCAATCGTGTAACACTCGCTGTATCAGAATTTCGCGTTATAGAACAGGTTGGTGTTGCAGTTTTATCTAAATCTATTAGGATTTTGAACATTGCTTGTGCCCACTTGCCGCCGGGAAGCAGCGAGTAGCTGCAGGATTTTTCTTGTATTATATGTATGTATGTTATTTTTAAGGGGCATCCCGAGGGATCTAAGATAAACAACTTTACTACGTAATTAGAGATGATGTGGATAACTATATAATATATTTCCCTTTATACAATAGTAACATTTGAAATACTATTTCTTTGAAATATTAACTACGAAACTAATCAGTACTCTGTATAATAATGATTAGTTTCAGCAATATATTCGCGGTTGATTTGGTTCTAGACCATAATCACCGAAAGACCGCAAAAAAAGATTCTTTTATAGAGCAAAGGGAACTCCTTAACACTGGCGTCGGTTGGAGTGATTGTATCCTGCGCATTGTTCCTCAAAGTGCCTAAAATGTCTTCAGCTAGTTTTTTTTTTACTTTTCTCATATTAAGGATCTGGACGACGACAAACACCAACATTATTGCCAATGACGTAAGGAACGAAGACTATTGCTAACCATGCTTCTTTAAAAGTGTTATCCCAGTGTTGGTGATCGTTGAGAAGGTGAAAAGCCATGCAAGTTGCTTGTAAAGTAGGATGCTCGATATCATGAACAGTTTTCAAATAAGTAAATAAAGTTGGTCTTCGAATTGTATGGAGCAATAGGCACAAAAGCTAACATTCTCAATTAATGGGATAAATAGTATACTGCTATAGGAGAAATATGTAAAAAAATTATAAGCTAATAGCGTTAAAGTCAGCATTAAATACTTATCAGACTTAACGACTTTCGTTTGTGATTCTTAAAATGCTGTGCTTTTGGAAATCCATATCAAATGTTGTTTTTTTAAGACATCTTCGTGGTCTCTTAGAGTTCCACATCACATATTTTAGATCTTAGAATTTTATAAGTCAACAGAAAATAATCATTACTTTGTACAACTTCTGTAAAGACATTGTTTTCCTATATGTTATAGTACAACGATACTTAGAGTTCCATATTAGACTGTTTAAATCTTCAAATTTTAATCACGCAGAAAAATATGCTTATCAGATGGAACAATTTTTGCTATGGCGTTGTTTCTGTATCTCTTACTGTTTCGTCGATCTCTTAGGGTACCATATGATAGAGACCAGCCACCAAAATGAATTATAGCCTATATAGTGTCTAAGAATAATAGCTTCTTAAATAAAAAAAGAATTTTGAAAATGCGTTCAGTAGTCTCAGTGATTAACGCGTACTACAAACAGCCAAAAATGTTTAATTAACACTAATTTTACTGTGTTATTATAATTTCGATAATATGAAGAGGCTCAATTATAATAGTTCTGTACCAAATACTTTTTGTTTTAGACCTTTTCTAATATTATTTATTTATTTTATTTATTTAAACTTTTTTGCACAAATAAAGTGTACAAATGGCGGACTTAATGCCAGTAGGCATTCTCTACCAGTCAACCGGAGAGTTAAGACATAAAGAATTTAATGAGGCGGTGCAATGCAAAATATAAATAAAGTGTCTTGATATAAAAAAAAAATGGAAATAAATATATACATAACATAAATAAATATATAATACATACATACATAAAATTAGTCAGATTAATTAAAAGCGGTAGGAGAATTCAATAGCTTATCGCGTAACAATCTTATTACCTTTAAACTGAATGATCAAGGTACCAATGGTGCCGGTGAAGCCAACTAGTACCAGTAACCACCGCATCACGCCAACTATGCGCTTCGGCAGGAATAACTGTTTGTTCAACATTTTGACGAAGGTTTTATTCAATGCGACACCCTGGTAGAAATAAATGTCTCACTTTTTAATAATTAATCTTACTTCTTCATCATTAGCACTTTTACGTTCCCACTGCAGGGCTCAGGCATTCCTTGACTTTGAATTATTTGACGATTTTTTACACTGTAGTTCTATGGCGTAGTGATTAAACGCCGCAGCCCGCGATCGAAGTTGTTAAGCAACTTTCGCAAGGATCAGTCACGGGATGAGTGACCAAACAATTATTACCTTAAGTTCAGGTCTGCTTTATGGATAGTTAAGGAGGTTGGGTCATGACCTTCCACGCTGATCCAATGCGGAATTAACGACTACAAATGCAGCTGGAAGCAACTGTTTAACGTGCTTTCCGAAGCGCGGAGTTCCGAAGCTCGAGATAATTTTTTTGGTCACCCATATCGTGACCGACTTTTGCGAAAGCTGCTTAACAAAAATCACGGGTCGCGATGCATATCCACTACGTCATCAAGCTACACTACGAATACTACTACGAAACGAGCTACACTACTAATAACGCATCTTAGTTCTTAATTAATATATATGTAAAAATATTAATATATAAACTGAACCTTTGCCTGTTTCCGTTGTCTGCACGCTAAGATCTTTTAAACTACACAACGAATTTTTAATGCGGTTTTCATTAATTTACACAATTATTCAAAAGGAAGGTTTATAGAACTCTTACCTCATCGATCCAAAATAAAGGTGCCATGGTGTTCGGTAGGCTCTTAAATAGTTCAAGTTTGTCATTTTGGTGAAGTATTATGCTGAACATCACTCTTTGTTTTGCGTCCATGGGTGTACCAGAAATCTGTAAAAGTACGTTCTAATGTCACAGTTTGTTGACCCTCCCCCCCCTCCTAACGTGTGACGTAATTTATGGATGGCCCCTAATGTACTTATTATGCATATTCAGAATCACTCAAAGATAAGCTACATGCCATGTTTTGTCTCTCCAGGGTTTGTATACTTTACACACTTTAAAAAATCTTGTTTTGTTCAATAAAAAAAACAAGATTTTTTAAAGTATATACAAAACCAATTTTAATTTAAAAACAGTTTCCTTCTTATTTTAAAAGAATCAAAAAAGCACAGTTGGTAATTTAGTTTATTGATTTGAGGATATGTAGTATCTTTGTTTCGGTCAGCAAAAGACTGCGAGGAGTCAGCGTAAAATCGGAAGAGGGACGATAATAGGTACGATACCCTAATTGCACGTTCCGCATCGATACTAAGATGGTGAAGATCTTAGTATTCATTACCTTTCACTTATAAATAAATCAGCATAGTTAAGTGGATACTGGATAAAGAGATGTGTAATGGTCTTAATAATTCAGCTTATATTACAATACTTACTGGCTCAAAGTCAATTTGTATTCCATGTTGATTATCATCAGGATTGAGTCCCTTTACTTTTGATTGGACAGCAGGGTCACAGTCCAGGTAATGAGGAAGTGATGCATACATAGGTGCTTTCATACATTTCATCATATCCATCGTGCCTTTAGGCGGACAAGTGTCGGGAGTATCGCAGAAGCACTGGAGGTCAGGGTCGTTCGCAAAATCTCCAATGTTGGCAATGTAGCGATTCGTCTTAATTCCATTATACGAAGTCTTCTTTTGATACCACGGTTTGAAGGGCCTGTTTGTAATTTAATATAAACATTTATTCAGATACACATAATAGTTGATGTGCCAAGAAATATCAATTTCCACAATCGATAAATATGTTTTTCACATATTAAAACATCAGAAAGACTCATTGTTACTTAATAACTCCAATCGCCACACTCAAAATATTCATGTTAGTTGAACCCCATTCGACCTTTCCTACTTCCTCTTTCATTTCCACTTCGCTAATTCGCAGGGTGTAAATGCGTGATTAGGGGCAAGGTTATTCTGTGTTTTGTTGTAACATTACACAGTTAAATATACTCGAATAAGAAAATATTACTCTTCCTCTTTGAAGATTTTCTACAGTTTGAAACTCATTCCATCAAATATAAACTTAACAGCGTTCACTTTAAGTATCGTCTCTCACTCATCATATATTAGCGGACGGAGATTTTTTGGTATGAATGAGGATCCGTAAGGAAGATATAAGTTATCTTAGTTATTTCTTGATAGTCACTTTTATCATAAAATTATTAGGTCAAGAATGCAAAGTGAATAAAAGATTTCGGTCTGTCGTTATGGATTTTGATAGTACAATTAATCAGTTCGGATAAGTTCAACTAGGAGGAGATTTACGGCGAAAACCATTCGCTCAGAAGTTAAGTAACTCTTGGAACGTATGGAATAGGTGCGCGTATGGGCCAAAAATATACTATCTCGGGATCTTTTATGTTTCGGAATGTACATTAAGATGTTGGTCATGCCGCATCTACAACCATTAATATCCAATATCGTGAAACTATGACGTCTAGTGATTTCCACACCCAATCAGTATCCGCAAGACCTGATATGTACCGACCGTTCACATTGTCATATACAAAGCAAGAAATCTTGCAAAATCACCACTCTACACTTGCTTCGCGTCTCCACAGAGCATCCTTATAAAATAAATATTAGATACGTATTTTTTTAATAAGAAATGGCAAAGATAATAGGTATTAAAGTTGAGGAGCGGGGGTTTACTTCGTCACAACTATGTAGAAATCGTACAAAGATGTGACGTCATACGACGTTTCAACTCAAGCATTGGCATAATTTATTGGTTATGAAAGAAATAAAAAAAAATACGTTTTTATAATTCTTCAATAAACTACCTGACGAACAAAGAAATATTAACCATTATCCTTATTACACAATGTGAGAATCGTTTCATTTCTCTATTGAACCCCTTTTATAACATTTTTATTATTCGTGAGCTTCGTGGGCGTCCATATATGTAGTTGGCGTGATTTCTGAAGGTATATGTGTAGCTAAATGTGCTACTGGAAACGAAGCGTAATGGGAAACAAATGGTTATTGTGACAAAAAAAAGGATCCCTTTGATCTTCACCCACTGGCTGTCGTAACGTAGATTGTAACGAGCGCATATGTCTGTATTATATAAAATTACCTACGATTTTTAGCTATGTAAAAATATATCACGGTAAGTTTCAAAATATTCTAGGGCACGGTCGGCAACATAAGACCCACGAGAGTTTTACTTGTGATTGTGATTTTTATTCGCAAAAACTAATGCTTTTGCGCCATTTTAGAACATCGCAAAATTTTGGTTTTACGTTACTGAATAATTTATTTATATGTATTTGTACCATAGTTTGTCTTGGTCCATAGTTTGTCTTTACACTGGGCCCGGTGGGTCATGGCCCATTCTCACATATTTTTCGTTATATGTGTAGACATGACAGTTATAGTTAATAAATAATAAGAGGAAAGATTTGTTTGTTTGCATTGAATAGCTCGGTGGTGTAGTGGATAAGTGCCGTGGCCTTTCGTCAGGGTCGGTCACGGAATGGGTGACTAAAAAAATTGTACCTTGGGCTATTCCGTTCTTCAGAAGGCATGTTAAGCATTTGGTCCCGACTGCATATGCAGTCGTTAATACTCTCCAATCCGCATTGAATCAGCGTGGAGGGTCATGATCCATCCTCCTTAACCATCCACGAAAAGAAGGCCTGAGGCTGATGATGCAGAGACTCAGAAACTACTGGACCGATTTCGAAAATATAAAAATTAAAACCAACCTGCATAAATCTGTAGAGAAAGACTCTAACCGATCATTCACTGTCAAAAATGGAGGGAAGACTGTCCCATCCGTTCCTTCAAACCTATTGCATGTGTCTCTCCATATTTCTTGCTCCGTTTTCCCATCGATTGCAACCACTTTTCCTACATCCATCACATTATTTATGCCTCTCTTTACGGTGATCACGTGAGAGTCGATTGTGCCGTTGCGCTGCCAATAAAAAATGTAATTTATGACAAATCCTTAAATATCGAAATTAGATTGTTTTTGCCAAAAGCATTATTTCTTTTTATATAGGAATGCTGCAATTTTTTTTCTCTGTCTATTTGCATAAAATCTTTAGACAGTATAATATTGGATACTTTATTTTTCCTAATTATATTTGCGCATAATAGCTTAAGCATATTTTTAAGCTTGATTTCTCTAAAAACAACATTAAAAAAAAATGCATAACATTCTTCTTAAGCACAGCATAAATTAAAAAATATATGCGTACATGGCACCGACTGGTCGTTACCGTGAACTTCGCTGTTCGCTCGCTCGGTACAATTTTGGTTTTTGTTCTAATCTTTTTTAACAGTTCTAACCTAACCTAACCGATCCATCGGCTCTTTAATATCTAGTAACAGCGAAATAAAATTTACGCAAAAAATTACCCACAAGATAATTATACCAACATATACCTATTGTAGGCCAAAATACAATCATGGCAAAGTATTAGTAGTATCAATAAATCATGTGTATGTAATGCCAAAATATATTAGGCAAAAAAACATTATGTGAAAAGAGGATCCTGTTACAAAGTCTACATGACAACACCACAGGGGAGCGTGAGAGGATTTACTTACCTAAAACAAACTCAAGTAAACGGAAATTTTTTAGGCATTACCGTGAGCCGTGAAGACGAATGATAAGCTAATAACGAGAATTTGTTATTCAAGTTTTCTGATATAGTTAAATTTACGGTAATTTAACACATAAATGTATTATTGGATGTAAATAGACATAATTGTACAATGTATTTCGTCGTTTGCAGCGTGCAAACGACGAAATACATTGTTAATTAGACAACAGAAAATACAAAAAATAACTTCAATATAAAGCTCTTGAGTATGCCATATCGAGGTGAGATACATATATACATGTTTAGGTTAGTGGTTCATGTAGGTTGCGATGTTTGAGGTGCATCTATTGTGGTACACATAATATCTTGTAGGTTCTGACTGAATGTCAGAGTTGCTATATAACATAAATTTTAAAAGTGACCCTTTATCCTGTTAAATATAAGAAACCCCTAATTGTCAACTTACCATTCCAAAGAGAGAAAATCTATACTGGTTATTCGGTTCAATAATTAAACTATCAGCTATTTCTTTCTTGAGTGCGGTGCATACAGCTTTCGGTGCAAATTCTGTTCTGGCACAGTTTATTTTGTATCCCCTGAATAATATGTCCAAAGCTTTCACATTCATGAAGACGTGTTCTGGTCCGTCGAATATACCATTGAATGCCTTCCCGATCATGTTTAACATTGCTGGCTTGTCTCTGTTCACTATTGTTGCTATTGACTTGAAAGGAAATCATAATAATACGTTATTCAAGCGGAACTAAAGGCTTAAGGGTTGGTCGGTGCAAATCTGACTGATTATCCGTCAAGAGTTTTACAGATGTTTGCGTGTGTGAAACGGATCATCCTTCGTTATTCGAAGGTTGATTATTATCTATATATAAGTAAAATCGATTGTTATTCGTTTGTCTTGTCAAAACTCGAGAACGTCTGAGATGATTCAGGTGGTTTTTGTTTTGAAATGTTCGCCGTAGTACAGTTCAAACGGTGAGATGTGGTACGAAGTCATTAAGTATTATATATTCCTCAGTTCTGACATTCCACGACCGAATTCTGATAAGCATCAACAGAAATATAGTCTTTTATTTTGGCGTACTGTCGACTGTTAAGGATGGATGGCGTACTGTCGATTGTGAGGGATGGTGTGTTTCGGCCTTGTTATATAAAAAGATGTTAAAAGAATGATATCGGTATACTTTAAAAAAGAATATACAAAATTCAACAAAGTATACTTTTTCCTTTTAGACATAATATTATCTTTTTTTACGTAATACTACATTCAATGTTATTAAAACTTTAAATGTAATTTATGACATCATCAATTATTTTATTAAAAAAGCCATAAAATGTTTGGCCAATAACGCCGTTCCCGTCATCATCTCGAAGCTGTAGTCATCTGCTATGTTATCCATAATTGTGATTGTGGGAAAAAAAAACCGGCGAACAGGTAAGGTAGGTACTTTAAACATTTATACCATATCTCTAATCGACTTCGAATGAAGTTGCGGTGATTTGAATATAAATAGGGATTTTGTTTAGAAGCGTTTTGTTTAGATCAGAGGTTCAAATATTTTGTTCATTTATTGTTTCATCAAACCCAATCACCAGTAAAGTTTCAATTTGAATGTAATTCAAAGTTAGCTTAGCGTGGTACTCGTATTAAAACGAAATCATCAGAATACTTATAAGTTGAATATAACATTCATTTATGAATTAGTTGTATATGTGTGACTAAAAAGCACCTTCACTAGATGGCGGCTCTAGCAAAAGTTCATTTTTGCAGGAAACGAATGGAAATGACACAGTCATTTCCGTTCCTTTTAACTAGCATATTAAAAAACTGAAATTTAAAAAGTTCGAAACTTAGATATTAATACTAATACGAAAAAGTACAAATAGAATATGAGTTGTTTATTGAGTTTTGAAAACTAATTTACTTTTAAGCATGAAAGAAAACCGGAAGGGTATTCATGGAGAAATCAAGAACGTACCGTAGCGACATCTAGTTAGATTTCGAGAACTAATGTTTTTTTTTAAATACTTCCTCATTGTGATATTTTAGCCTAAGAAATGTTTTCATAAAGTTTAGATTTGGTTATACTGATAGTTCAATAAAGTTTATCGCCTGACCAAATGTAGAGGATACTAACCGAATATTAAATATTATTACTAACATGGAATACTGAAATTCCTTCCTAAATTATTCTCTATAGGTAAAAAGAATAAATTTTAAAGCAAGCAGATCGTAAATTTGAAGGTCTTAATGATAATTTTCAATGTATAAATAAAATAAATATTACACAATATCACATACATTGTTCAGATTCCAAGATGAGTAGTCAAAGCCCCCGTATTATGGAGTGTCTGAGACAGTGAAAGTAACACACAACACCCAGACTCGACACAATATAGAAAAGTTCATTTTCTACATTGACCCGACCGGGGATCGAACCCGGGACCTCAGAGATGGCGTCACTTTGAAACCGGCGTGCGAACCATTCGGCTACGGAGGTAGACTTAATATTCCATTTTACAGATAGTATTCCATATTTGGTTACTTCCCTTAACTTTTTGTTTGCCTTTTTTCTTAATTAATGCCCCAAGAATTCAAAAAATTGCATAAAAACTTACTATCATAAGAATATGAGGCATGACAATGATTTCTTCGCCAGTAAGTCCAGGACCTGACAGCTCAGGCCTGAAGTAAAACGTGTCCCTTCTCTTGTACATGATAGTGTCATCTTCTTCATTCTCTTCGATCTCTAGCTTTTCTTTCCATTCACTGTACAGATATAAGTATTAGTATTCTAAATGCCACAGGAACGCTTTACTACGAGGCTGAGTAGACTGGGGCCTAGATACCTGGGGCCTAATATAAGACGTCAGAGGCGGCAAAATTTAGGTTCAATTTTTTATTACTACCTTTTATTTAACTTGTCTTGTTAGTATGTTAGTTAACGCGCAAATCTTAGAACTTAAGTTTGACATTGTCCGATAGATTTGAAATTTTGCATAAACTTGTAAGTCATCTAGCTAGATATAACGATGGAGTCGGAAGGTCATAGGAACTTAGTGATGATATGACATTACTGCATCGTGTTTGGGCTCGTTAGATCCGTCTTTATGAGAACTTTGGTACGGGATGCTTTTCAAACTAAGGTCTAGTGATGATGGAGCAGAAAGTCGGTCATAGGAACTTAGCAATGAAATAACGCAACTGCATCGTGTTTGAGCTTTTTAGATCCGTCTTTATGAGAACAACAACATATTGCGACAAACACTTTGTAATACAGATGCAATGTCGGAAATAATTAGAATGAGACAAAACTAAAAAATAAAAAATATAATAAAAAGGTTATTTAGAAACAAGCTTTTATTTGTGCGCATTAAAACGTAAATAAATTTTAAGTACTAAAATGAAAATTTTCTCTAAAAGTAATTGACTTGCAAAAACCTCTAGCGCGTAAAAAATATGTGTATTCTGATTTAATTCAAGGCCTCTGATTGATTTAACTGACCAATCCGGATTGGTCTAAGATTGGAAAGAATAATCCTGATTGGTAAGTGGACGTTTGTGAGTCGACGAGTCCTAACGAGACTAGAGAAACTTTCGAGTTATTTTTCGCCGGTTGAAGTCTGGCCTAGTATCTGGCGAGATTTTTTTGTTATAGACGTTTTAGAATATATTTTAAGATTCTGTGCTGGGTTTACTTTCGTTACGACTAATGTAAAGCTTTCCTAATTTTTCAAGGATTTTCCTAATATACATACATATGTCGCACACCTAGATCTAAACTGAGATAACTCAAAATTTGAGTGAGTTTTGGCTTAGTACGAGGGTCAAACTGAAAGTTCTTAGAAAATCAAAAACTGATTACATTAGCCAGTTATTAGTTTTATTTTATCTTTTCAAAATATTGTCCATTCACGTTAATACACCGCTGCATGCGATGGAACCACTGGGAAAAGCACTTTGCCCACTCGTCCTTAGGGGTCGCTTCAATGGCATCGCGATACGCAGCCACCGCTTCTTCAGCATTCATAAACCGCTTTCCTTTAAGTTTTTCTTTAATTTTTGGAAATAAATAAAAATCACAAGGCGCGAGGTCGGGGCTATACGGCGGGTGACCCAGTAATTCAACGTTTGATGTCGCCAAATAGTCGATCGTTCGCTTGGCGGTGTGCGACGAGGCGTTGTCGTGGTGAAGGAGGATCCTACTGCGAGGTCGTTTCTCTCGAACTTTTTCCAAGACAAGTGGCAAACAATTGGTAGTGTACCATTCTGCAGAAACTGTTTTTTGATCCTCTAACACAATTGTTGCAAAATGACCTATCCTTCCAAAGAACGAGGCCACCATTTTTTTTCCCGCACTTCGATCTCTCTTCACTTTAGTTGGCAACTCCTCGAAAGGAAACACCCACTGAGCAGATTGTCTTTTGGTTTTAGGATCATAACAGTAAATCCAGCTTTCGTCACCTGTTAGTATGTCGAACACAGCATTTGAGTCACCTCCGTTAAATCTTTCAATCATTTTACGACACCAATCCACACGATGGAGTTTTTGAGCCTCAGTCAAATTATGAGGTATCCACCGGGCGCAAAGCTTCCTGACCGCTAAATGTTCGTGGAGGATTTTGTGCACTTGACTCATACCGATGCCTAAGCTTGTCCGAATCTGTTGATAGGTCACTCTTTTGTCAGTCTCTATCATACGCCGCACAACACAGATGTTATCTTCAGTCGTCGCCGTAGAAGGCCGTCCCTCACGTAAATCATCAGTGAGATTAGTGCGACCACGTTTAAACTCATTAAACCAGTTGTAAACAGTCGCACGAGATGGGGCTTCATCGTGAAAGGCCAATCGTAGTCTATCATAACTTTCTTGTTGACTTAAATGACATCGAAAGTCATAAAAAATCATTGCACGAAAATTTTCTCGTGTTAAATTCATGATGACGTGACACAGACAATTTTCAATTTGCCGCCAAATCGTAAAACAAATGACAAATGAATGAAATATATACTCAGTAATATTGGCAAAGAGTTATATTTTCAAATTTTAGAATTATTTTTTTATTATATTGTTTATAAGTGGCCAGTTCTAAGAACTTTCAGTTTGACCCTCGTACAATATTCAAATACTCGGTGATCATACGCATCTATTCAACATAACAGATTCAATAAAGGTTCGGAGATGAGCCGCTAGATAACTTTAGCTCTCTTTTATTGAATCAATAGTGATCGCGCTCCTGCCACGTAAACAAATGTATTGTCAGACCACCACATTAGTTTTTTGAGTTGTCTTAGTTTAGATGTATGTGTGCGATATATTAATTTCAAAAAATAAACTTTCTACAAGTAATATATCAGTCCACAAAAGATAAATTGAAGTTGAATCTCATTTCGGAATAATAATGCCGTTAGGTCAGTTTGCGAAATTTTACGGAAACTATCGTCATTTATGTAATTGGCAAATACAACGTCCGCCCCGAGCCGCGTTTTATCTGATGAAATGCCTTTCATGTCATATACATACATACATATAACTTCCAAAAGAGGATGTCGCAAATATGTTACGTTTTATACGACCCGTGTTTTTTATTTTTTTGAATTTTTCATTACATATTTTTGTGTACCCTTTATTTGTGTAATCAGACTCGCGAACGGTTGCTCTTTATGGAAATGAGCTTGTTATTAGGCTAACGAAACGTCGCTCTACTTATTAAATATTTATGTGATATTTTAAAACTGAATTTCTAAGTATTCTGTTTTTATGATAATGATTCGTTTTTATTAGACTTTAAGATACCTGTGTATGTAACTATGGTAGAAATAAGTTTTCCGTATTTTATACATACATACAGGGTTATGGGTAATTAGACCAGATCCTTTTAAGGGGTCGTAGGGGAGGTCATTTATAATTATTTTCACCCCATATTGTATATCCGAAAGTAATTTATTTAATGCACTTTTGTTTGAAAATTTACAATATAATTTTTTATTTTGTATACATGCGTAAATGAGTTAAATCCAAATTCAATTTACTTTTAAGTAAATTTTTATTGGATATTATCTTAGATCAAAGACCTTCCATAGACAAATAAAACCAGAACAAAGTGCTTTATCATCCGGTCAACTCCATTTTTATTAATAGTGCATTATCGTCTAAGTTGCATACACTAACATTAAGCTTAATCGAAAAGTGGGAATTAATGAACCTAATTTAAAAGGATTCTAGAATCCACAAAGAAATGTGGATAGACGTACCGGACGAGTCATGCTGACTCATGAAGAACTCGAGAGTCTCGAGAAACGTGTCGAGAGTCAGATATTGTACATATGCATTCGGGAAAATATATATAGGGTTGTTAAGTAAAAATATATTATTAGGAGCTCCTTCGTGCTTCGGAATGAACGTCAAGTCGATTGTCTTGGTTGCATATGCAGTAGTTAGCACCCACCAATTCACACTGAGCCCTCGTGGCAGGTCATGACCCATTCTACCTATTCGGTTCGATTCCATCCATAGGGTAGGCTTGAGTCCCAGTAGTTATAATGATGATAAGACAGACAATACAATTATATTGATAGTATACGTACTCAAAATAGTAGGGACCAATTTCCTTAACAATAGGCACAGCGCCCTTTTGTATATCTTCCACGTTGGTGTAATTAAACAGGTACACTTTGAAGCTTAGAGCGAAAGGTATTGTCTCCCACATAGCACGTACGTCAGTCTTCTTCGACAACGCCATTTCCTGTTGGAGAGTACAATTTAGTATTCATATTTAATAAAAACGAAACTATTAAAAATACGCTAAATAGACCGAAGCTTTCTAAAAATTAATCAAGTGACCATGAAAGTTTAATATAAAATTCTAAACTTGAATTTAGAATTTTCTTTTTGTCTAATGAATAGGTACGTTACATATCATTATATCTTTATTAAGACCTATTTGGTATCTACTTAGAGTAAATTATAGGTTATTAGAATAAAAAATGAACGAATCGTTTGATTCTGTAACTACAAAGTAACATAAATAAAAGTATATTTTATCGCCTACTTACTATTATGTATAATTATGTTATTAGTGTTTTGATTAAAGGGAAACAGAAAAAGAAAAGCACTCTTTTAACGTCCAACACACTTGTCAAATCACACGTTGTTGTTACAATTGACATTGAAGATTGATTTTTAATCAGCCACGACATTGCCATGGCCGTGTTTTATCTGTTGACATCTCAGCGTAAGTATGCTATAATCCAGAAATATTATCTGTTATCCAATTTTATCGAACTTTTTATCCAGTTTTACATGTACAATGTTAATTATATTGAACACCTATTCTAGTATAAAAAAAATCTACTCTCATTTTCACCCCTTTAAATGCTGATTTCCGGGATTAGATACAATCTATTATCTTCCCAGTTTCTAAAACTACTAAATACCTTTTTATAGCTATAGATTTAAAAACAAAGAGCTTTCATACAATCGTTATCATGCTATTTAAACTTCTTCGGGGTTAAATTTCCAAAAATCCGTTCTTGATACACCTCTACATAATAAGCTGAATGTACCCTCCATATTTCATGTATCTACTACAAGTGACTGTGCGTTGTCTGTTAATCAGTATGTTTTGTATGTTTTAGGTATAGCAATTTTTTTATAGTCTGTAGAAAATGATATCATTACCTTTTAAAGATATACTTTTAAATACTTTTCTAATACAGATATACTTTTCTTCCTTTCCCGTTTATTGATTGAAGATAACATAAACACATTTCACACTTAAATCCTTTCGAAGATTCAATAAGAATCGCTCGGAAGTAGTGTACACGATGGATCATCCATGGAGTGTGAAAGTTTATCAGTTCTGACGTTTCACGAACGAACATGTTTTCATCTTCGAAGAGATTGCATCTTTCGTCAACGCACTGATACTTAATATGTTCGAAATCTGACTCAGATTTGTTTTTGAATTGATTTTGTATCGTAAATTTTGTGTGACCAATATGTTAAACTATGGTACTATTAAAAGTAAATAAATATAAGAAAGAAATAAATAAAAGAACAAATAAAGGATGAAATCTGTATGGATTTGTGTAAAAATGTATAGTGGAACATGTAAAAGATTAACAAAAAGACTTGTCTTCGTATAACCCCTGTAGAAGTAATGTTAGCAAATTCAGCCGTAAAAGAATGAAAGGGAAAACATAAAAGAAAGATCAGAAGAGCGCCGAATAGGTAAGTACAAGTGACATAAAAGCGACAACTGATATTGAATGAAAAACGGGGGTCAAAACAGCCATGTGGGGAGTTGTAAGATATCTGCTGCTTCTGCAGTATTACTGCATGTTTACAAAATAAGTAATCGTATTATCTACAAAATAAGTATGAAAATGCTAACCTTCTTGAGTTGACTCTTCAGGATGGTCGGAAATAAAACCCATCCGAAAAGAATACCAAACACTCCAACTCCCGCCATACCCGCTCCTATCTTCAAATGTCTCGGTATTTGCATCTCTATGCGTGATATAAAGTCCTGAACAAACTGTAGATGAAACAAAAATAAGTAAGTTATGGCAATTTCTGTTGTTAATTTTTATTTGTCGATCGGTTATTGGTTTATCGGTAAATAAAATGATCTCGCAGTGGCCTAGTTTTATTTTATGTATTGTCATTATGTGTAGAAAATAAAGGTATAGGTAAAGGATATAGTAAAGAGCTCATGACATAACCGTGTTTATGTTTTAAGTGGCAATATTTTGAACATCCCGCCCACTCAAGCTGTTCTGAAGTTTTAGAGAGATCAACGAACAGAAATTGAAAAATACTAGGTCCTTACATATGAAATTGGTGTTTGGTATGGGAGGAACAAATAGTTGAATATTTTTTAATATACATAATATATTTATTTATTCAAAGTATAAACCATTGTTATCTATGCACTTTTACTATCTCATAGGTAGTTCATTGATCCCCTTACTAAAAAACCATTCGGACGGGAATCAATAAAATCTTTGAATTGAATTTTTTACTCTTGCAAGAAGTTATCCAAATTTCGAAAATTGGTAATCTGTTGGATCAAGGTCCGGGGAGTACGGTGGATGTCTTAGACATTCCCATTGAAGCTCTTCTAATTTGGTGGCCGTCTGTTGTGCAGTGTGTGGTCTAGCGTTGTCGTGAAGTAACAGTGGCGTATAGCAATTGACCAGCCTCGGTTGTTTAACAGCTAGTTTTTCCAGCATGGTTTGCAATTGCTGACAATAGACGTCTGTCGTAATCGTCTGGCCAGATTTGAAAAAACTGTAATGAACGACACCGGCACTAGTCCACCAAACGCTTAAGTAACTTTTTTGGGGTCGATTTTCACTTAGGGCAGGATTTGGCTGGCAAGCCAGGGTCCAACCATTGCGATGAGCGCTTCCAATTATCGTAGAGAATCCACTTTTCATCACAGGTAATGATTCGATTTGAAAACCCTTAATTATTGTGCCGGTTTAGTGATGCAACGCAGCAGTCTAAGCGCATTTGCCGGTTTGCTTCACTCAATTCGTGAGGTACTGACCTTTCCAGCTTTTTAACCTTTCCAATTTGCTTCAAGTGGATTAAAACAGTTTTATCACTAACACCGCTGCCTGTAGTTTACTCGGACGTGGTTTGCGATGGATCCGCTTCCACAATATACTTCAATTCTTCATTATTAACTTGGGTCTCCGGTCGTCCATGGGGCTTGTTCTGCAGGTCGAAATTTCCAGAACGAAACTTTGGAACCAAAAACGCACTGTGTTTTCTTTTGCGACACAATCGCCAAACACATCATAAACCCTTAGAGTCGTTTCCGCAGCACTGATATCATGGTGGAACTCGTACTCGTAAATAACACGATATTTCGATAGGACAAATAGAAGAAAAAAAAATCAAATGAATGTCGCTTAACGAAACACAAATACATGTGTAAATGGGTGTATAAATTTGAATTTGGAATTCCCAATTAAGGAGGAGAAATTTGTGATTAAAGTGGCCAGTACCACAAAACGCCCATTTTCATATGTTTGGACCTAATATTAAAAATATTATTTAATTCAAATGATCTAAATGTAATATATGGAAAGTTTATATTAAATTTATGCTGCTATAGCTTTTATCAAAAATAAAAACTCTTTAAGGCAAATACAAAGTCTAAATAATATTGTTCTAATGCTACATTGCTAATGCGGGGGTGTAAGGGGGTCCGAATAACATCTAACGGATCCCAAGCCAACCTCACCTGCACGCGGTACACCCTGCCGACTAACCAACGAGGCTCTGGCGCTCCCCACCAACCCGCATTGGGCCAGCGTGGTGGGAGACGGCCCAAAACCCCTCAGAGATAAAAATTGAACCAAACGAAAGGCCCCGAGTGCCCGGCGGTGCCGTAAGCCGTGCTGGCGCGGACGGACGCCAACTCGGCGAAGGCACCAGGGGTGCGAAGAATCCCCGGGCGGCAAAGATCCCCCGTCAAACGACCTTGGCCCTGGCAACCTACAACGCACGCACACTGCGGACCGAGGAGAAGCTGCTGGAACTAGAGAAGGAATTGGGCAGGATTCATTGGAGTATTGTAGGATTATCCGAAGTCCGAAGAGAGGGCGAGGACACGATGATCCTTAAATCCGGTAACCTGCTCTATTTCCGGGAGGGCGAAGATCTGTCCCAAGGTGGCGTCGGGTTTATCGTCCACAAGTCTCTCGTGAACAATATTGTACAGATCGGAAGTGTATCGAATAGGGTGGCGTACCTTATACTCAGAATCACCGAACGGTATTCGCTGAAGGTCATACAGGTTTACGCCCCGACCTCGACGCACCCCGACGAGGAAGTGGAAGCCATGTATGAGGACATTTCCCGGGCAATACATGGTTCCACGACCCACTACACTGTTGTCATGGGAGACTTCAACGCAAGGCTAGGCAAGCGTGGCGATGAGGAGTTGAAGGTGGGGCATTTTGGATCTGGGATCCGGAATCACCGTGGTCAAATGCTAGCCGACTACATGGAGAGGGAAGGACTCTATATGATGAACTCCTTCTTCAAAAAACGGTTGCATCGAAAGTGGACCTGGAAGAGTCCGGATGGTGTGACAAAAAGCGAGATCGACTTCATCATGTCGACTAAGACTCGGATATTCAATGACGTCTCAGTGATCAATTCGTTTAATACGGGAAGCGATCACCGTATGGTAAGAGGCGCATTGAATCTAAATGTAAAAGCTGAACGGTATCGACTGGTGAAGTCTACGCTCCGTCCTGAAGCCACCCAGATCCGGGACCCCGAGCACTTTCAGCTCGAACTTCAAAACCGCTTCGATTGCCTGGAGAGCTGCTCGGATGTGGACGAATACAATGACAGGGTCGTAGAAGCTGTCCTTACGGTGGGTTCAAAATTCCTCAAACCTCGCCGTACTCAAAAAAGAAGCAAGATCTCGGAGCAGACAAGCAAGCTAATGGAAGAAAGGCGTGAAATGGTTCTGCAATCTTCTGAGGATGCTCGTCGGCAACTCAATAGACAGATCTCGAAGTCTCTCACACGCGACATACGCCAATTTAATACTCAATGTATTAAGGAGGCGATTGAGCGGAATAAAGGCTCCAAAGTGTTCGCTAGAGATCTGTCTCTCGGACAAAGCTTGCTGACGAAGCTAAAGACAGAGGACGGCAGAGTCGTTACATCCCGTCCTGAGCTTGTGGCGGAGATCGAACGCTTCTATGGACAGTTATACACAACATCACAGAAACCTGTCATTGAGGCTACAGACCCTAGAGCCAAATTAACCCGACATTATACCGAAGACATCCCGGACGTCAGTCTATACGAGATTAGTGTGGCTCTCAAACAGCTCAAGAACAACAAGGCGCCGGGGTATGATGGAATCACAGCGGAACTTCTGAAAGCGGGTGGACTACCAGTCCGGAAAGCGCTTCAGAAGCTATTTCATTCCGCCATACTCGAGGGCAAGACGCCAGAAGCATGGCACAGGGGCGTGGTGGTGCTTTTCTTCAAAAAGGGCGACAGGGCCCAATTGAAGAATTACAGACCCATCACGCTTCTGAGTCATGTGTACAAGCTGTTTTCGAGAGTCATCACGAATCGTCTCGCACGTAGATTTGACGACTTCCAGCCTCCTGAACAAGCCGGTTTCCGAAAAGGTTACAGTACCATAGACCACATTCATACGCTGCGACAGGTTATACAGAAGACCGAAGAGTATAATCTGCCACTATGCTTGGCGTTTGTGGACTATGAGAAAGCCTTCGACTCCGTCGAGACCTGGGCCGTGCTTAGGTCACTCCAGAGGTGCCAAATAGACTATCGATACATCCAAGTGCTGCAGTCACTGTACGAAAATGCCACCATGTCAGTTCGGCTCCAGGACCAAAACTCGAAAGCAATACGACTTCAGCGTGGAGTGAGACAGGGCGACGTTATATCGCCGAAACTGTTCACTGCCGCACTGGAGGACGTGTTTAAGCTTTTGGACTGGAGAGGACTTGGCATCAATATAAACGGCGAGTACATGACGCACCTTCGTTTCGCTGATGATATCGTAGTCATGGCTGAGACCATGGAAGATCTAGGCACAATGCTCGAAGACCTCTGTAGAGTTTCCCAGCAAGTGGGTCTTAAAATGAACATGGAGAAGACAAAAATAATGTCAAACTCCCATGTCGTACCCACTCCAGTGAATGTTGGAGGCTCTACACTGGAAGCTGTCGACGAGTACCTTTACCTGGGACAAATAGTCCGATTAGGTAAGTCCAACTTCCAGAGAGAGGTAAGTCGACGGATCCAACTCGGCTGGGCAGCGTTCGGGAAGCTACGCAGTGTATTCTCGGAACATCTACCGCAGTGTCTCAAGACAAAAGTCTTTAATTCGTGCGTGTTGCCAGTGATGACTTACGGTGCTGAGACGTGGCCGCTTACGATGGGCCTCATAAGGAAGCTCAAGGTCGCTCAGAGGGCAATGGAAAGGGCTATGCTCGGGGTTTCTTTGCGAGATCGAATTAGAAATGATGAGATCCGCAGAAGAACTAAAGTCACCGACATAGCCCACAGAATTGCAAACCTCAAGTGGCAGTGGGCAGGGCACATCGCTCGCAGGACTGACGGCCGTTGGGGCGGTAAGGTCCTGGAGTGGCGACCGCGTACCGGGAGACGCAGTGTTGGCAGGCCCCCCACAAGGTGGACCGACGATCTGGTGAAGGTCGCGGGAAGCCGCTGGATGCGGGAAGCGCAGGACCGATCGTTTTGGAGATCTTTGGGGGAGGCCTATGCCCAGCAGTGGGCGTCTCTCGGCTGAAATGATGAATGCTACATTTAATCGAACCTTCCCTGAAGCTCCCAGTTATACAGCGATAACCCGTAATGCATAGGTAATTTATAGATGCCCCCTAAGGCATTCAGGAAAATTGCTTGATGGTATACCGTGTGCTCAGTTTGTACGGGTGCAAAACTTAATTCCCAGTCAGCATGATTTATTCA